CCTGGAGCGAAGCAAGCCGCTGATGAGTTTGCAGCAGGGGTAGGGACTAATCAGTTTAGGTCATGTATGATGTCTTCAGTCCCTGTGAGAATGATTAAGCCAGGGAGACTTACAAGTCTGAGTGAGACTGAGGCTGGACTCGGCTCTGACAAACTCTCCCTGGTCATGAATGTTTCCCTGGGCAGCTTAGCACTCCTGGACAAATGTTCTTTCACTCAACATGAATTTCCCATTCTGAAGGATCATAAATATTACCGTCATTACCAAAGGAACTGGCTAATGTGTATATAGTACTATAAGGCTTCCACATGCTTACACAAACACTATTTCATTCTCAAAGCAACTCCATGAAGTAGACTCTGCTATTAGTCACATTTTACATAGGAGTGGGGCTCTTAGCAAGGCTTACTTGCTTAAGGTCAAATAAATACTAACTCTCAGAAGGGCTAGAGAAGGGTCCTGTACCAGGTTCTCTAACTTAGACACCTGTGCTCTGTCTGTCCATTTGGTCACACCACCTTCAAATCACAGGCTTGAAACCACTAATGAAGTTTTGTAATATTTACAAGGATGAGTAAGAAATAATATGAAGTTGGGGTTGGGTGGAGCTAATGAGCTCAATTTTGAATATGCTGAATTTGAAGTGACTGCAGGATCTTCTGTTGGAGAACGTAGCAGATAATACAAGGGTTAGGGTTAGGATTATACTGTCTGTATTTACTTTAAAGGTCATCAGAGCTTTGCTGTCTTGTTTGTGGGACAAATTTAGGGGATGAACCGTAGCAGAGGTTTGTCTATTACCCACACAGAGATGATTCTGTGGCATGGCTTTTTTGTTCTGGAAACTGAATTTAAACGTGATTGGGCGTTTGTCTTTTAGGGAAGAATGCATAAAGTAAACAGAATAGATCAGTCAAAGAACATGATTTTCCATATCATGATGGATATTGATGACAACTTAATCAATTGATTATAACTCAATTAAAGAATTGGTTGCCCAATATAGCTGCTTGGCTAGATTCCAGGTGGGTATGACAGTCATGTATAAGAGGCTACCACAGGATAGCTGCATTGTTTTTTCATGTGGAGCCTTCATGGGAGCCTTTTTAATTAAGGTATCAGTCATACTTTAATAAAAAATAAATAATAATAATAATAAAAAGAAGCTATCACAGGAAAAAGACCTAAAGAGACTCAAAAGCTCAATTCAAGCAGTGATGTTTAGTTTTAAAACTAATCACTCACAGCTATAAGACTAATTTTTAAAGCAGTGCAGGAAAACAGCTTTGTTTTCAATAGTTTTGAAACTCTCAAGCCTCTGACCCTTTCTTTTTTTTCTCCTATGAAAAACAGTTGCTTTATAAAGTGACTTTGGTTGCTGTGGGCAATCCTCTGTACCTTCCAGAGGACACCTTAGCTTTACCTCTTTTTCTGCCTTTGTTCCTGCTGTGCCTTTGGCCTGGAATGCCTTTCTCATGCCATCTCTCTCTCTCTCTCAAACCTCCTTCACACTTCAGTGGCTGCTCACGGATCACACTGTCCTTTGGGGGCTCCTCACTAGAAGACCTCCTTCATTTTGGCAGTCTAGTCATTCAGTACTGGTAAAATAGTAGTGGAAATTGGGACAATGTCTTACTGAGGCTCTTAGGATTGACCAAATGGAATTTCTTTGGTTAACCTGGTAATAATATTGTGGTTATTTCTGCAGAAACCTCTTTTACCATCTAAGCCCCAAAATAAAAATTGAAGGGTTGAAATACATGCATACATACATAAAATTTGAGATACAGAAGCTTATTTTTAAAAGGCAAAAGTCATTAAATCATCAAAGCTGTATTTTCAAATAGGATGGCAAATTGTTTTATATGGAAATTCTCACTTTCATCAAGTCCTATATTCAAGATATATTATGATTACAACTATGGGAAAAAAACCCACCTCAATGCAGACAAAATAACAGGAAGGAAATTTACTAAAATGTATACTTCCTTCCACAATTAAAAAAAAATCTGTGTTTGAAGTATCTTTAATATGAATTACGACTTTTATTACAAAGAGTTTTTTAAAATTCTGCCTTCCTCAAAAGAGTATCTATTTCTATTATATGAGATTCTTGCACCAGTAATCAAAGTGCTGTTTTTCTGAGCCAAAGTACTTTTTTTTTTACTTTGATAAAATAAAGTCCCAGGAGTGCTCAGTAAACACTTGGTAATGAGTGAGTTTAATGCATCCACCTAAAGACCATTTCCTAAATACACTCAACACATTAAAAAAGGCAGGGGATGTGACAGAAAGCTTTGGTTACATTAGGTGCAGGAATTGCCAATGAATCACACAGATTAACCCAGGGAATTAGACACCTCTTACATACCTTTGACAAGGATCAGTAAATGTGTAAATAGCTTTATGTTTTCTCTGCTTAACTACTCTTTCACCAAACTAAATTCTTCCTCCTGGAGTGTTGACTGGATATTTCTGCTTCTCTCTTTAAACTGGAATCTGGTAAAATACACACATTGGGATCGCCAGACATCCTCCTCCTTGTTTTCTCAAATGTTTTTTTTTTAACCTTCCCATTGTGGAATTAAAAAAAAAATTTTTTTTTAATCACCAGCATTCAGTATCTCACTGTCAAATCACAGTTTACTTTTCCTGTCTTTTTAAAATGGGTCTATCTATATAAATAACGATGTTTACACCATTGAGATAAGCCACTCTGGTTTTGTATCCTGCTCTCCCCCTCCCCACCCCAGCTAACATTATTATATCATAGGCATTTCCCTTTGGTACTGGAAACCTTATCAACTTCATTTTTAATCAACAGCATAATCACTCACCATGTCAAGGTGCTTGGTTTTTCTTTAAGACGCAGAAGTTTCCATTTCTTCACCAGCTGTTCAAACCCATTTTCATAATCATTTGTGAATTACCCATCCCCACCTCAACACGGACTGTCAGCTGATGCCTGACACCAGACTGAGCTGGCACGGGTGAAATGGGTTCCGAGCCTCAAAGTGACAGAGGCACAATGGGACAGATCCAAACTGAGCTTTGTTTTCCACATCATTTGAATCTTCTCAACCTAAAAAGGAGGCCACAAAAACAAAAAACTTTCAGCAATTTTTAAAAAGGCTTAGGACAGAGGCTCTTTTCCTTAAGCTAAGATGCATCCCCGTAACAACGGGAAAATTAAGGGAAGGAGGAGCACTAGGAGGAGGAGGAAATGGCAGCCCCACCCAACTCAGATGGAAGGAAAGGTCTAGGAGGATGACTAAATGCTCAGAGGCAAGAAGGTCTAGGATCTTGGTACGGATTAGTTGAAGGACGTTGGCTGACAGAAGAAGGAAAGAAATGGATCAGGGTGAGTACTGGGAATCTTACTTTTCTGAGGTGCTTAACCAAGAGATGGGAGATGTTTGCAGAGGGTATGGGGTGAGCAGAAGAGACAGGAGATGTTCAAAGTTCGTTTTGTGATCTGGTTCTTCCCATTTCCTCACTTGAATCTTGGGGCACAAATCATATGTTTTCTGGGATCAGCTTAACCCTGAAGCTGTGGACAATCTTTTCTTTAACATCTTGGGACTCTGGCTCTCAGCTCCCCTTAGAGAGCTGCTGCCCCTGGCCTCTGAGTTCAGGCCGCTTTTTGGGTCCCCTTAGAACCTCTGCTGCTCTGCTTCTGGTGCTGAGAAGAACAGGGCCCAGCAGCGGGGGCCAGCCTGGCAGACACACAAGCCTGCCAGGGGAGGGTACCAAATACAATTATGTGTTTCTTAGAATTGTGTTCAAAATTATGTATCATAGACATAACTAGAAATTAGAGAAGTATATGATATTTTAATACAAGTCAGAGTTTAATAGAGAAGTCTCAAGAGGCTTGTTTATATGTTTGATTCCAGTATATTTTTATGCTAACTCTAGGACATTTTCCCCCTCAGTTGTCCCTAACTACAGTAAGCAAAAGACGTTAGATTGTCTTTGGAAATAATATACTTTAATTAAACAAGTAATACACTAAATATATATGCTTTTTATAAAGAGTAAAAAGTTCATGTATTAGGAAAGTCCAACTCCCCTTTCACATACAGCTGTACTCCTAATACTGCTCCTTCCTCACAGGAAAGAACTGTTAACAATTTGGTTAACTGCTCCCAAATAATACTAGATTATATAAAATTGTTTGTTTTATTCAATGAAACTATACAATACATATTATATGATGTCTTGCTTTTTAAAAAACTTTATCATATATCTTGGAAACCTGTGCAAGCCAATGCATATTGGTTTATCAAAAATTTGTAACGAATTACACTCTTCCATTCTGGGCACATGTGAAAATATTTCTTATATGAAAGACTTCTAAAAGAGCTATTGGATCAAGGACAATACTACTTTAAGTTTTGGTGGGTATTGTAGGGGAGGGAGAACTTAACTTTTTTTCTCTACCAATCAGGTTCATTGGCTAGAGACCTATAAATTACACTGACAAAAGATAAATTAACAAAAGAAAACACAAATAGAATTTTATTAACATATGCATTGCACCTTCACATGGGAACACTCAGTGAAGAGTAACTCAAAGAGGGTGGTTAGAACTTGGGCTTATATAGCATCTTAACATGAGAAAAATACAGTTTTAGGGAAGGGACAAGATGGAGGAAAAGAACTCCGAGTTTCTAGGCTGGAAAATTGTGGGAAGTCAAATGTAGAGGGAACTAATGAAAGATAAGGACAAATTAATAGTTTGCTATGTAGTTTGCTCTGGTGTCACCTCTGGGCTGATGAGTATCTAGGGTTGTCTCTGGTGCTTAACATCTATCCTTCCTGGTAGAGAGGGGAGGGAGGACACCTTTGTAAATGTATATCCTGTTTTGAAAATGTAAAAGCAGAGAGCTTTTCTTGTATCTGCTTCTTCTTGATGCCTTCAGATCAAAATAACCTTTAAGCCAATGAGGAGCACTAGGAGGAGGAGGAAATGGCAGCCCCACCCAACTCAGATGGAAGGAAAGGTCTAGGAGGATGACTAAATGCTCAGAGGCAAGAAGGTCTAGGATCTTGGTACGGATTAGTTGAAGGACGTTGGCTGACAGAAGAAGGAAAGAAATGGATCAGGGTGAGTACTGGGAATCTTACTTTTCTGAGGTGCTTAACCAAGAGATGGGAGATGTTTGCAGAGGGTATGGGGTGAGCAGAAGAGACAGGAGATGTTCAAAGTTCGTTTTGTGATCTGGTTCTTCCCATTTCCTCACTTGAATCTTGGGGCACAAATCATATGTTTTCTGGGATCAGCTTAACCCTGAAGCTGTGGACAATCTTTTCTTTAACATCTTGGGACTCTGGCTCTCAGCTCCCCTTAGAGAGCTGCTGCCCCTGGCCTCTGAGTTCAGGCCGCTTTTTGGGTCCCCTTAGAACCTCTGCTGCTCTGCTTCTGGTGCTGAGAAGAACAGGGCCCAGCAGCGGGGGCCAGCCTGGCAGACACACAAGCCTGCCAGGGGAGGGTACCAAATACAATTATGTGTTTCTTAGAATTGTGTTCAAAATTATGTATCATAGACATAACTAGAAATTAGAGAAGTATATGATATTTTAATACAAGTCAGAGTTTAATAGAGAAGTCTCAAGAGGCTTGTTTATATGTTTGATTCCAGTATATTTTTATGCTAACTCTAGGACATTTTCCCCCTCAGTTGTCCCTAACTACAGTAAGCAAAAGACGTTAGATTGTCTTTGGAAATAATATACTTTAATTAAACAAGTAATACACTAAATATATATGCTTTTTATAAAGAGTAAAAAGTTCATGTATTAGGAAAGTCCAACTCCCCTTTCACATACAGCTGTACTCCTAATACTGCTCCTTCCTCACAGGAAAGAACTGTTAACAATTTGGTTAACTGCTCCCAAATAATACTAGATTATATAAAATTGTTTGTTTTATTCAATGAAACTATACAATACATATTATATGATGTCTTGCTTTTTAAAAAACTTTATCATATATCTTGGAAACCTGTGCAAGCCAATGCATATTGGTTTATCAAAAATTTGTAACGAATTACACTCTTCCATTCTGGGCACATGTGAAAATATTTCTTATATGAAAGACTTCTAAAAGAGCTATTGGATCAAGGACAATACTACTTTAAGTTTTGGTGGGTATTGTAGGGGAGGGAGAACTTAACTTTTTTTCTCTACCAATCAGGTTCATTGGCTAGAGACCTATAAATTACACTGACAAAAGATAAATTAACAAAAGAAAACACAAATAGAATTTTATTAACATATGCATTGCACCTTCACATGGGAACACTCAGTGAAGAGTAACTCAAAGAGGGTGGTTAGAACTTGGGCTTATATAGCATCTTAACATGAGAAAAATACAGTTTTAGGGAAGGGACAAGATGGAGGAAAAGAACTCCGAGTTTCTAGGCTGGAAAATTGTGGGAAGTCAAATGTAGAGGGAACTAATGAAAGATAAGGACAAATTAATAGTTTGCTATGTAGTTTGCTCTGGTGTCACCTCTGGGCTGATGAGTATCTAGGGTTGTCTCTGGTGCTTAACATCTATCCTTCCTGGTAGAGAGGGGAGGGAGGACACCTTTGTAAATGTATATCCTGTTTTGAAAATGTAAAAGCAGAGAGCTTTTCTTGTATCTGCTTCTTCTTGATGCCTTCAGATCAAAATAACCTTTAAGCCAAGGATTGTGGGATGGCATATTTAGCTGCCCTCACTATCAAACAATTTTCTCTAAAAAGTCTGTATGAATTTACATTCCCACCATCAATATACCAGGCAGTCCATTTCCCTATACCCTCACAAAATAGGCTATTGTTAATTCTTTTAAATATTTTTGAAGAGATCAAAGATAGGATCTCATTATTATTTTAGTTTGCATTTCTCTGATGATAGCAAGGCTTCTTAATATTTATAGCAACTTTTATGTAATATGGATATTAAGCCTTTGTTACATTTGCTGCAAAAGACTTAATGATGTGGCCTGTTGTAACCAGCCTGGAATACTTTTCTTCTGCCAGAAGCTGTTTAAATTGCTAAGTACAGGGTATAAATGATGAAACAATATAGTTAATCATATGGACACACTTACATGAAAACAGTGTTTCAAAGAAACAACATAATCGTACATGATTAACTGACAAATAAATGTTTCAGAGTCCAAGAAACTGCAGAACAGGGAGAGAGACCAGGTGAATCCTGGAACTGGTTCTGCCCTGAGCTGCTGGCATTTTAGGATGACAAGAGCTGCAATTAACTTCTTTTCATTGTGTTATTTGGATCCCTAACACTCTACAGAGAAGCCAGGGGACCTCTTCCCAGTTCTACTAGAGCAGCTCCTTTTAGGTTTGTTTATTATATTTTCATTTGAATGAAGCATAATACTCACTTACTGGAAAAAAAAGTGAAAACCTCAAGACAACCACCACAGACCAGAGATTAAGAGCTAGGTCTGGAGTCACACTGTCTAGGTTTAAATGACATTTTTTCCACTTCCTAGGTAGGTGACACTGGGCAAGTTACTTAACCTCATAAGCCCTGTCTGCTCATGTGTGATATGGAGTTATAATTTTTTTGTTGGGTAGTTGTGGTGATAGAAGGAGATAATGCATATGAAGCCTGGAGCTTAGTAACGCTCAGGAAATATTAGCTAGATATAAAACTTTCATTACAAGTGCTAGGGTATCTTCATGTCTTGAAGTGCTTGGGCAGAGTTTCAAGGAGAAGGTAGATGCTAACTTTTCCTTGGTGAATGGGAGCAATGGGACATGTGGAGGTTGGAGAAGGGGCAGGGATTGTCCAGAGGTAGAGGTGGGCACGATCTATTTGGAGGCCACACATGGTGAAGTAGAGTTTATTCATGGCTTTGGGAGATAAGATTGGGTAGGTGTGCTGGGATCATATTGTGGCTGACTTTGAAGGCTTGACTAAGGAGTTTGGACTTGAACCTTTAGGTAATATGACACTTCTATTCTTGCACACTTAAGGGGGCCCAAAAACAATCTGCAGTAATCTCACCACACAGGAATCTTTGTCAGATAGGAATCTCAGGCAGATAAGCCCTTTCACACTCTTTAAAAGGGAAAAAATGAAAAAGAATGAAGTGTTTATCAAAGTCCCAAACTGATGGTAAGAGATGTGAAAAAAGAAGACAGTGATAGGGAAGCTGACTAAAATGAGGGGACAAAGGCAGGAGAAGGCAGGGAGCCGAGCCCAGAGGCCACAGGACATTTGGCGGCAGGTGCCAACTCTCTCTGCTGGCCCTGCTGGGGATAACTTACCTTTTGTCATCTCTGCCTGGAGCTTCTGGTCCTTCACAGTAGGTTGATTGCCTAGGACGTGGTTGGCAGTGGATCCTTTAACCTGCCCAGTCTTCATCCAAACTGGCTGAGGCCTTAGGAAGCCCTGTAAGTCAAGGTATTTCATCAAGTATTTACTTGCCTGCCACCTGCACAGGACGCCAGCCATCTCACACACAGGGCGGCCCCTCCTTCTCACCAACTCCTCTGTTTGGGTCCCCGTTAGCCTTTTGCCTAGGTTATTGTGAAACTTCTCACTGCTCTTCCCATGCTGTCTTTTTTCGCTCTGATCTGGGCTACACACCACAGCAGAGTTCATCCTGACGTACTTTCCCTTAGGTACAAAAGGAATACATGTTCGAGGCAAAAGCTTGGATAACACCAAGAAACTCAAAGGAAAGAAAAATTTCCCATAATTTTACCATGTAAGGATAATCTGTAGCATAGCTTTTTTAGTCTCTTTATCTTGGTTTTTCATATCTCATGGATTATTTCCCCATAGTTTTTGTTCTTTTTGTTGGTTACATCAAAATAAGAGGAATTAGTTTACGTATCCCCCTCTCATTGTAGGACATTTGTGTTGCATTAAGCATCCGTATACTTATATTTTTGTATACAAATTATGCCTTTCCTTAGAAAAAACTCCTAGAAGAGGAATTTAAGTATCAAAGGCATTTATGTTTTAAGGGTTTCTTTTATTTAGTGATAAATACTGATAAATTGCCCTCAGAAAGGTATAACATTTTATTCTCCAGTCAGAGATCGGTGTACCCATTGCTACTGAATCAAACAGCAGCATTTCGGCCTGGAGTCAAGCCCCTCCCTCATCCTGGCTGTCTTGCCAATGGGTTTCAGCTCTGAGCAAGTTCACTATGGATTCAGTGAAAACAAAAAGTGATAATGGAACGTTCTTGGGGTGAAAGGATTTATACCCAACTTTATTCCCACGGTGGCAGGTCAATCACTAAAATCCTGTCCACTCAGAGCGAGTCTGCATCCAGCAAGCCAGTCTCTGCCTCTGGGCCTCTCTGCCCCTGCAGTGTCTCAGTCTCTGTCCTCTGCGCTGCCACCACTCCAGCCTCTGCTCTGCTCTCCTGCAGCCATGCAGCTGTGCAGCTGTGCCACCATGTCGCCCAGAGCACAGGGTGGAGCTCTTTGTATAGTCAGTAACATACTGCCCACATGTGTGTAGTGAGCAAGGCAGCCAGGGCCAGGGGAGAATCCTGGCCACGGGATGTTCACTTTCCCCACAGAGGCCCCGCTGCGCTCACAGGCTTTCTCCCTCTCCTCCCCTACAGCCCCACTGCCTTCTTGCCATTTTGCTCTTCTCGTACTTCACACATGCACCCGTATATCTATTCAGCAAACGTCTGAGAGCAGCCACTAGGGAAGGCAGATCGTGAAAGTTAAGGGACAGGCTCTGGAGCCAGACTACCTGGGTTTGAATCCCAGTGCTGCCCAACACTTTCTGCATGTCAGGAACAATATTAACACCTCCATCATAGACTGGGTGTCAGAACATAAATTATTTCAGACGTGTAAAATGCTTCTGACGGTCCCTGGCATGTAGGAAGGATTCAGTGAACCTTAGATGTGATTATCAGTAATTAGGAACCATGCTGCATCCTAGGCTTGGGGATCTTAGGTGTGAGAAGAGGGCCAAGGTCTCTGCTTCCATGGAACAAATTCTAGATACCAGTAAGTGCTCTGCAGAAAATAAAGACGGTGTTGTGATAGCAAGTGGTCATAGGGTTGGAGGTGGGCACCATAATCAGTGGCCAAATAAAACCCTGTGTGGTGGTTACCTGTGAGCCACAACTCGAGCAGAGAGGTGGAGCCACCCAGAGGGCAGGGCTGCCTCAGGTCTGGTCTCTCCGCAGGGCAGGAGCTTCACAGTCAGAGCTCATCGCAGGAGGACGGCTATTTTATTGTTGCCTTTTTCCTTTTTTTAAGGCTGATAATATATATTTTGATCCTCTTATAGCCTTGGCTTTATATTAGTCAAGCACCAGGAGACACGTGGCCGGCCGGGGCTTGCCTCTCCTCATACACGTCATTAACTCTGGTGGGCTGGTGGCCGACAAGGCCTTGTGGGCACTCACATGTTGTTACTAATTGCTTTTGCTTGATTTCCTGCTTTGCTGAACCTCTTGTCGATCTTGGATTTCTTTTCCTGCTCCCTTGAAAGCCCTCCCTTTTGTTTTCTGAAGTCATTGTCTCCCTGACATGAAAAGCAATTCAGTGAGCTCAATGTGTAATTATGTTAAGCTGAATACAAATGAAAAGCTGAGTCTCTAATGGAGAATGCGTTTTTTCCTTTTTTTTTTTTTTGAGACTGCGTTTTTTCTGTGCACTGCAACCTTGGGTGTGGAGAGGGAGATATCTTCCTTCTTCCTCCTCCCCTTTCCTTCCCAGGCCAGGAGTCAGCTTGGGGAAAACGAAAATTGAGTCATCTGCTCTTAGGAGCTATGCTTTGAACAGCAGCCAGGAAAAGGCTGCCCCCTAGTCCCTTCTGTGGAAGCAATGTTAGCACCCCTGTGTGCTCTTTATGGCCTCTTTTGGGTATCTTATCTCTCAGGGTGGGAACCTTTGGGTATTACGTATGGGGCAGAGAGACTTTCTATGAAGGCTCAGTAGGTCCTGGTATGACACTGTCAGGTCCTTTAGGAACAAATGAGATGCAATCAATTTCCACTAGCATCCAGGCCAGTTGCTTTCAAAATTTTGACTATGACCCACAGTTTACATCATAACTCAGTTATACGTAAGATTATACTTGGTCTTCCTATGGGGACTCATGGTAGTATTTTCTATTCTATTCTTCTTTAAAAAACAATGTTCACATTTCTTTCTGTTGATTTCACAAACTACTAATGGATTGAACCTGATGTTTTAAAAATACTGTTAAATAACTCAAAAGTGTCTGTCTTAGGTCTTGCCCTGAATTTTCTGGTTCCAATAATATAACTACTTAAGTACCTAAGTACAACATTAAGAGTTTGGAAAATTTTGTACTATTTGTTCCAGTACCTCACCTTTGACTCAACCTCAAGGAAAGATATTACTAGGAGGGAGATCAAGGGACCACCATTCACATTCTGTTATCAGCCAGATGGTTGACAAATTTGCTGGAAAAATGCAAATATGAAAACTGGATTCAGTTTTACACTGTAAAGGAAATTTTAAAACACCTGATCCAACTTTCTCATTGGAATTAGATATAGTCACAGCTAGCACTATACTGAAAAGTATCTCCTAATGGTTCAGTGTTAACTTGGAAGAAAGCTCTAACAAGAATCCTCCTTTAGCCTCTGACTTGAGACTTACTGCTTGGAACCATCTTATCACCAATGACCTGGTTGAAGACATGGAAGGCAGTTCCGCTAATACCTAGGAGGAGAAGTAAAGCTTTTGGGTGAAAGTGTCAGGATTCAGAAAGGCCAGCGAGGCAGGAAAGGTGGGTGAAACCATTCAAGTGAACTCATTTAGCAAAGACATATAGAATCTATGTGGCATGGGGAAGGCAGTACAGCACGGAGAGAACAAGTAATGACTCGATAGCATCTTACCACACAGACAGTGACTGCAGTGGGGGGATGAGGACTTGATACTATGGATGAATGCTGAAACCACAATATTGTTCATGTGAAACCTTCATAAGATTGTATATCAGTGATACTTTAATAAAAAAAGAAAAGAAAAGCCACTAATCCATATATAAAAAAAGGAATCTATGTGGAAGTTCAACATACAAATGGCACAAAAACTGACTGGCAGCAAACAGCATCTAAGGCTTCTACCCACTAGATGCCATTAGCAGCCTCTCGCCCTTGTGGTGAAGGTGAGAGCAGAAGATGCCTCCTGATCCGCCACCTATCCTCCAGGGGACAAAATTTCTCTGGCTGAGAACCACTGAGATAAATCAATGTACTACCAGGCGAAAAGGCCTAATGGATATTTGTTGACAGGAAATGCGATAAATATCACCAGCAAAAACAGCAAAGCAAATGCAGTCTGAGGCTGCGTTATTACTAGTAGTAAGAGCAACTAATGGTTACTGAGTACTTTGTACTTACCACTGCGATAAGGTCTTCACCTGTGAATCTTCCCTTAATGCTCACTTGAACCCTATGAGATAGGGATGCCATTGTCACCATTTTTCAGCCAAGGACACTGATTCTAGGGGCATTAAGTGACTCACTAAAGTCTCACAGCCAAGGTGGTGAGAACCTGTACTCTTGCCACAGTGCTGCGAGAGTTTTTAAACCGTACTCGGTGTCCACATACAGTAGCAGCCCAGAAGGCAGTCTTTGCCCTCATAAGCCCAAGGTATGGCTGAGAAGCAAGAGATATGCTGCACATAACCTGGGTGACCCCCACCCTGGCCTGATATCCTAAAGTAGGGGCTTGCCTATAGCCGAGTCTCCAGGCAGCTCATTGACTTAATTCATACAAACTTCTAAAATGCCCTTTCTTCTATTATAGAATAACTTGTAGGGAGATTGTCAACAAAAGAGGTTAGGACTATGTGGTGGCACTTCAAGGGTTAAGTTTCCATTCCCTGGAAATATTTTGCTTTTTGGGCATTGTGGCTCAGGGTCCAGGTACAGAGTCACCGGGAGCCTGGTCCTCCCACTCCCAGGCCAGGACTTGCTAACTTGCCCTCTGAGGCTGAATCATGAAACTATCATGAAAGAGGGTGGCAGAAGGACTAGGACCTGGCCAGGAATTTTACCTAAGTCGGAGCCAGGTGCACAGAAATGATTGGCTGCTGAGCCCAGGGAGCTGCAGCTGGGCAGTGACCTATCCCCATCTCGGCCCCAGTGGCAGCCTTGGAGCTCACATCCGTTGACCTGCAGAGCCACAAGAATAACAAGGAGCATCACACGCAGGAGATGGGCTTGAAGCGGCTTATCGTGCGCCGTGGCCAGACCTTCATGCTCCGACTGTACTTCAACCGACCCTTCCACTCTGGGACCGACTACATCATCTTCGTGGCTGAGACCGGTGAGTTCACTCCAGCCCAAGGCAAAGTCACCTGTATGGCTCTGGCCTCTCCTTTCTGAGGCCCTCCTGTCTCTTCTCTTGAGACCCCAGGAAAGATTTTATTAGTGCTCAGCACCCTATTGGTGCTGTTAAGGAAAAATTTGACCAATTTAGCCAACTGAAGTGGTGATAATAACAGCCAAGTTTTTAATTTCAAAACAGTGATAAACCTTCATACCCATTATCTTCTTCAATTCCCATGACAAGAGTTTCAGGTGGGTGCTGTTATGATCCCATTTTACAGATAAAATAACTGAGGCCCACTGATCTTATCTGGCTTGTCCAAGGACACCCAGTGGTGATAAAAGCCTTAAACCAAAAGGTTTAGCAAGTGGAGGGAGAAGGTGAGGGTCCTTCCAGGCCCTCTGAGATCATGTCATATAGATTTTAGGTCTGATTTTGGGGTTATTCTCTCCTGCACAGGACCAGAGCCCACGGAGTTGCTTGGAACCCGAGCCACCTTTGCACTCACGCAGGCCCGACAAGGGAATGTCTGGAGTGCTGCTGACTTCACCATTGACTCCAGCTCGCTCTATGTCTCCTTTTTCACACCAACCAATGCTGTCATTGGCCCCTACACTCTGAAGATAGAGATCTCTCGGAGCCAGGGTCCCAGGATGGTTTACCCCCTGGGAACTTTCATCCTGCTTTTTAACCCTTGGAGTGCAGGTATGACTTGCTCATGAGTAGTAGCGCTAGCCTGATTCATCGGAAGCGCTCTGAGAGGTGCTTCTGAGAAAACCCAGAAGAAAACAGCTGCATATCGATGCAATGTGCTCACTAAAAATCATCTTCACAAAGCTTTTCAATGTCATGATGAAAATGTTTATGGTGTGATGCTAAGTGAAATAGGTTAGGAAATGGAATACAGTGTAACCCTAATTGTATTACATATATGTGCAGAGAAAGTAAGAGTGGCCAGAACACAGTAAAATGTAATGATGGGTATGTGAGTAGTGGGGATGAGCCGTCTTCCACATCTTTTCATCATCTGCATTTCTCTACAATGCGCTTGTCACTTTTATAATCAGAAAAAGAGAATCATAATTTTTTAAAGTATAGACTATATCGCCGGCCTCTAGAAAAGCACATAGTAGACTTTTAAGGGGTCCAGTCTTGATTTTTATTGCCATCAGCCCATTGCTTCTCCAATTATCCAGCAAGCTACTGTTATTACTGTTTTTTAATTTTATTACTCTGTTTGTTTTTTGCTTTGGGGTTGTGTCTCTTCCACTGCTCTTAACTGCTCAGAGGACGATGTCTACCTGCCAAGTGAAATACTGCTGCAGGAGTACATCCTGATGGACTATGGCTTTGTTTACAAGGGTCATGAAAGATTTATCACTTCCTGGCCCTGGAACTACGGGCAGGTAACACCTGAAACAGGCCTAGGGCAGGTCGCCTTTAGCTGCTTCTTAGATAACTCTGTTAGCTCACAAAGGACCACTAACAAAGTCAGGGTGTGCAGTGGTGGGCCAATTTCCTGTCCAGTGAGAGAGCCAAGGAAGGGGAGATGCCTTTCCATTTTAGCTTTAATTATTTTATATGAAAAACTTAAAATCTGAGTAGACAGGCTACTATAAGCCTCCATGAACCTATCCCTCAGCTTCAACAGCGATCAGTTTGTGGTGAATCTTGTTTCATTTATACCAGAGGCTTGCAAACTAGAGCCCACTGACTGTTTTTGCATGGCCTATAAGCTAAGAAAGACTTTTACATTTATAAATTGTTGAAAAATAATTTTATGAAATAATATTTTGCGATGTGCAAATTATATGAAGTTCAAACGTCAGTGTCCATATATACCATCTTATTGGAACACAGCATGCTCATTCATGCTGCTTTTAGGCTGTAGTAGCAGAGTTGAATAGTTGAGAAAGAGACCTTCTAACCTGCATAGCCTAAAATATTATCTGGCCCTTTACAGAAAAAGTTTGCAGACCTCTCCCCAACCCCTTACCACTAGATTTCTTGGAAGCAAATTACAGATACCATATCATTTAATCCAGTAATACTCTCAAATACAGCTCTAAAAGATGATGATTCTTTCTAAACAACTGAGCCATAATAAAATACCACAATTGAAAAAATGAACAGCAATTCTTTAATAACATCAAATATTCAGTCAGTGTTCAGAAGGGAGGGAATCTTGGGCTCTGGGCAACTTTTCTACTCTTAACCGCCAACCACAGTGGTGGCAGTTTCTCTCTTCCTCCCACTGCCGTCTCAGCCCTGTTCGCACACACCAGGAGGGGAGAGGCAGGGGGAAGCAGGGAGTCTTGCTAAGGAAGACCAGCTTCCCTTTCTTCCAGCTGTGACAATTTGTATGATTTTTGAAACTGAAATATGAGTGCATTTGGCAGCCAAAAGGTTTGCAACATATGTCGCAAATACATGCTGTAAACCTACGTCATGAGCCCACACGGGCTTCTCTTGTGCTCACAGCGTCGGCACTGAGCTCCTCTTCCTGATCTCAAGGCCTTCCTCATTCTTCACCCTCTCCTCACACACCTAGCCCTCTATTTCTGCATCTGATCTTATCCCGTCTCACAAGTCCTCCAGAAAGGAGAACCTCTGAATGCTCAAAGACCTCAGCTGACATCCCCAACTTCCTCTCTTCCCCTCCACCTTGTCCTTCAAAGCCCACTGGCTCCAACAGCCTTCTCCAATCCCTTCAGTCAACGGGGATCTCTCACCTCTCTGAATTCTATTTGCGTTTTCCAACAGAGCCACACAGGTTAGTTTCCAGAGTTACGAATCTAACACATTCCCAATTAGATTTATAAACTCTTTGAAGGCAGGACCTTGTCTGTATTTTGCAACCCGCACCCCCACACCCACCCCAGCTCATATACTTCATCCCTAAAAGTCTGTGTCACTGACTTGATGTTCCAAATTCTACACATTTTTACTCTTCTCTTTTCCCTCGAAATCACTTGGAAGTTTGAAGAGGACATCATAGATATCTGCTTTGAGATCCTGAACAAAAGCCTGTACTTCTTAAAGAACCCATCCAAAGACTACTCCCAGCGGAACAACGTGGTGTATGTGTGCAGGGTGGTGAGTGCCATGGTGAGGACAGAAGCTTTCCCACCCCTGATGACAGGCTGGGCTTCCCCCGGGGCACTGTGAAAACCCACATGTCTGTCCTATGCAGATCAACAGCAATGATGACAAGGGCGTGCTGCAGGGGAACTGGGGAGAGGACTACTCTGGGGGTGTCAGCCCACTGGAGTGGAACGGCAGTGTAGCCATCCTGCGGCAGTGGTCAGCCAGGGGCGGGCGGCCTGTGAAGTACGGGCAGTGCTGGGTCTTCGCAGCTGTTATGTGCACCGGTGAGTGACAGGGAGATGGGAATGCAGAATCACTCATTTAATCTTCATAATAACCCTTTGAGGTGGGGTCTTGACTATGCCCATTTTCATAGGAGTCATTGTGGTTTGCCCATCACCCCACAGCTAAGGAGTGGTGGGCACTTGGACTCAATCAGCATACTCTCTCTACTCAAGGTATCCTGCATATTCACCTGGGAGGAGGGTTGACCTGTTTTAGTCTCTGATGCAGCAGTTAGACTATTAAAATGGTTACCTGGCTAAAGAAGTTTGTGGTCCCAAAGGGGAGGCAAACCCAGATGCCTTCTGCCACCGCTCAGGCCTCTCTGCTCCAGGTGAGAAACAGGTTGGCAGAAACTTTCAGTGCAAGCTGATGGCCTGGGATAGCCTGATCTCACCTGTACATGGATCTGGCAGCTCCCAAATACTTCTCAGAGAGAGTCTTCAGGAGTTACAATGAAAGATTTGCTACTTTGCTAACTACCCTTAAGGAGTATCAACACTTTATGCATTATCAGTTATTTATAATTTAGTGCAAAGTTGTTGATCAGATTATCTGAAGATAAGGAAAGATGGAAAGTACTGAGGCGCTGGCCCATCTTCCCCACTGTGGGCCAGGAGTACCTTCCACAGCGTGTTATGCTGTGATGTTCAATAATTGTTTGCTGAGTTAATTGGTTGACTCTGAACTGGAGAATGAGGGAACACAGAATAGGGAGGATGGAGACAGGGGCCAAAGACAAAGTCCTAGATTTTTCTGAGACGGGCAGCACAGCTCAGCAGTTATGTACAGGTGCTGCAGATAGAGGAGAGGTGTAACTTTAAATCAAGTGACCTCACTTGGCTCACTTGTTTGCTGGAAAATGCTCAGCATGGCACCAGCCTTTCTTACAGCCAGTTTGCACTGAGCTGGCTTGGCAGGTGTTATGAAGGAGGGCTCCAGCCTTTAGACCCTGGGACTAGAGGGAGAGGGCTAGGTCTGTGTCCTTGCTCTACCTCTGAGGCTCCCCAGGCCCAGGCTCTGGCCTTCTGGGGCCACTGAGCGAGGGGGAGCTGCTCTTGCCAGGCTGCCTCTGGCTCCGTGCAGCCCTTGCCTAGTGCTCACTGCTAAGGGTTTTGTGAAAAGCTAGGAGCTACCCTGTGCTGGGAATGGAGAGCTGATTGTGGAAAGGTGTCCTCCCTGTGGAGCTTTTGAATGAACTGAAACAAAAAGATTGGTCAGTCTCAATAGTCCTCTTACTTTTCAAAGTATAATAATCCTCCCAGTAGCTTCAGGAGGCACCTTCTACTACTCCTGAGCAGGAGAGGGGTGGGATAAACCTCTAAATTTCTCACCTCGCTGGCAGAGGTGGGGACCTATGTTTCGAAAGGCACACCTGACTTTTGGCTTGATTTTATCTGTATGAAATGTGTGGTGCTGCTGGTGGTATGTTCGCTGTGCATGACTGGATCAGCGAAATTGACTCCGCTTTCAGAAGCCTTTGTAGCACTATCCCGAGCAGCCACGAGAGGGTACTGTTGCTTTACCAAAGATGGTACTGGCTTCATTGGACCTGCAGGTTCTGTCACTGTATTCCACTTACCTCTAGAAGTCTGTCTTGCCCTTCTATACATTCTTGATTTCAAACCCTTGTCTTTTAGAATTTCAGAACTGAAAAGCATCTGACCCAACTCCTTGTTTTGTTACACATAAGCAGACTAAGGGCCAGAGAAGTTAAGTCACTTACCTAAGGTCACAAAGCCTCTCTTCTGAAATTGCCCACCACACAGGCCTCAAGTTTTTAACTTTCTTTCAAATTAATGTTTTAGGTCGTCTTTTTTAAATTTGGAAAGCTGCTGAATGAGAAAAGTTCTAAATGATAAACTGAGTTGTTACTTGTTTTAAGTGACCTCAAATGATTTCTTTCTCCAGGTGGGATGGAGACCACTGATAGGACAGGTGGGCGGCAGGGCTCTGGGCCTGGGTGCAGTGCTCCGAGGATAAAGGTGTTAGAGGTGTGGATCTGCAAGAATCTTGGCCTTCTTTCTTCCCTCCAGCTTGAAAGTTAGTCTGCCTGGGAGCCAATGAGTCTCTGCCTGAATGAACTCAGTGATTCTCCACGCTTTTCTTCTCCAGTGATGAGGTGCTTAGGTATTCCAACTCGTGTTGTTTCCAATTTCCGTTCTGCACACAACATGGATGGGAACTTAACCATTGACACCTACTATGACCAAAATGCAGAGATGCTGCCAGCTCAGAAACGAGACAAAATATGGTAAGGGACGCTGTCTCAAACACAGATCTCTGCTCTGTCCCAGGGAGGATGGGAAAGCTCCGACTCTGTTGCTGATGCTAAGAGAATAATTCCCCAACCCAGGAGACAGTTCTGGCTAATGAGATCATCACATCAAACTCACTGGGGAGATAGAAGACTAGGAGATAATGTTCTGCAGCCCACAACCAAGTGAATAGATTGCTTGTCTTCTGATTACTGCCCTTAAAAACTACATTCATTTTCATCTTCCATCTTGAGTCTTTTTGTTTGGACCATTCTCTTTTTCCCCTGTCAGGGCAAAGCCTGGATTTGCTGCCTCTGCGTACATCTTCAGTCTTTCTTGAGTCCTTCTCCTTGCCCCGCTGCCTCTGTGTGTGCATGTGTGCACGCACGTGTGTGGGTACTGTGTATCTCTGTGTGTCCCTTTTTTATATCTTTAATCTCTTCCTCTGGTTGCTTTTTCCTGCTCTGTCCTAAATCTGATATCCTGTTTTTCCTTTTCCAGCCAGTCTGCAGGTAACATCTTTTAGTCTTGGGAGAACTAGTTGCTGTCCTTGGAGCCCCCTCCCTCTCTGAGCTCTTAGAGGAGAAAACTCTATTTAATATGCACTGATGTGTCTGAGAAGGTTTTTTCACTTATGTAGAATTCTGTCTGTGAATGCATGACCTGAATCTAATCAGGAGGAAACATCAGACAAGCCCCAAATGAGGGCCACTCTGGTTTTAAAAAAAAAATGGGGCTGTATTCAAAATGTCAGTGTACTAAAACAAAGGCAGAGGAGCTGTTCCAAATCAAAGCAGATGAAGGATACTGGACAACCAAATGCAGTGTGTGATTCTGGATCGCAAAAAATGCTATAAGTGATGCTATATTATCAGGTCAACTGACAAAATAGAAACATAGAAAGTAAATTAGACAAAATTATGTAACAATATGGAATATGTAACATTGATAATTGTACAAGATTATGTATGGAAAGATCCCTATTCTTAGCATATACACACTAAAGTAAAAACAAAAAAAATATATAATAGAAAAAAGAAATATATAAAAATAAATATAAAAAGAAAAAGAAAAGATATAATCTTTATATCTATACTGAAAGAAAGCAAATGGGGCAAAATGTTAACAATAAATGAATTGGGCATATGGATGTTCTTTGTACTATTCTTGCAACTTTAAGCTTGAAATCATTTTCAAATAAAAAGTAAGAAAAAAAAAAAGAAACAGCAGCAATGAAATAAAGCCCTCAGTACGGTGTCTGATAACCTGGCAAATCCTCCAGAATTGTGAATATTTTTCTCCTCTTCCTTTACATAGGAATTTTCATGTCTGGGATGAGTGCTGGATGATCCGGAAAGATCTGCCCCCTGGGTACAATGGGTGGCAGGTTCTGGACCCCACTCCCCAGCAAACCAGCAGCGGTGAGTGAGGACCATGGTGGAGGGTCTGGGCTCCATGGGGAGGCTGGTCTGGGTGCGAGACCACGTGAGCAGGAGTCCAGTAAAGAGTGGAGTTTTCCCCATCTGTTCCCTTTCCCAAAGTCATGGTAGAGACAACTTGGAGTCAGGAGTCTTTGCCATTGGCAGATGGGGGACCCGGGTAAGTCTCTGGACCTCTCAGTGGTTTCCCCACCTGCAAAGTGGGGAAGATGGAGAGGATTCGGCCACATCACAGGATGGCTGTGAGGCCCGCATGACTTCACAGGCCCTGGAGAGCACGCTGTGGATGAGGGCCGTTGCTCTCCTGCTTTTCCCCGTGCCAGCTCCCGACCTCCTTCCACCATGACCAGCCACCCCAGGTACGCATGTTAGCAGCGGGGTCAGCCGTCCACAACTCCTGTTCCCTCCGCAGGGCTGTTCTGCTGCGGCCCTGCCTCTGTGAAGGCCATCAGAGAAGGGGAGGTCCATCTCGCCTATGACACCCCATTTGTGTACGCCGAGGTGAATGCTGATGAAGTCGTTTGGCTCTTCGGGGATGGGCAGGCCCAGGAAATCCTGGTCCACAACACCAGTTCTGTTGGGAAGGAAATTAGCACCAAGATGGTAGTGTCAGATCAGCGCCAGAACATCACCAGCTCCTACAAGTATCCAGAAGGTGCTTGGAGCCCCAGGCATTTGGGGGAGGGGGGGAGGTATGATGTCTTTTGTGTTGCCTCCCAAAGAGCTGGCTCTCAGCTAAAACCTTCTCCACCCAGCCACCACATCATTGAAGATTCCCCATGTGGCCCTAGGATAGGGTTGCTGGATGTAATAAGTAAAATACAGGGTGCCCAGTTGAATTTGGATTCCAGATAAATTCAAATCAACACATATTTTATTAGCATAAGCATGTCCAAAATATTTCGTGTGACATACCAAACATATGCTGTTTATCTGAAATTCAAACTTAATCGAACATCCTTTGTTTTATCAGGCAGCTCTCTCGTGGTCTCCTGCTGTCCTGGCAGTGGGGGTGGCGGCAAGGGGAGAGATGGGCGCTCAAGGCAGTAGAGAGCTCCTGGGCTTGTGGAAGGCGGATGCCCCTGGGGAGGCCTGGGTGGACTCAGGCTGCCTGGACCCACCCTTGTGCCTCCACCTTCCCATCTATGGAATGAGTTAACTACGTCAGAGGCTGTGTGAGGGTAAATGAGCAAATACACAGAAAGCACTTGTGTACATAGTAACCGCCCTAGAGAAGTGCACAGCGTGGGGTGAGCTGGGGTTAAGCCCGGATGTTGAGTAGCCCCAAAGGGCAAGAGCTGAAGTTCTATTTAAAAGGCTTGAGCATGTACTTCCAAAGTGAGGGTGCTGGTGGGGGAGAGAATCCTCTGGCTTTGATTATGAAGTTAGCGATGAGGGCAATATTGATGACAAAGAACAGCGCTGCGGGCTTATATTCAGCAATTTATTTAACCCCAATTTTTGGCAATTCTGTGAGGCAAAGAGATACCCTGGGTTATAGGTGACAGAACTGAGCACCAAGAGATTAAGAGACGATGACAGAGCAAGGACTGAACCGAGCGCCGAGCAACAGCGCCCACCACGCTCTCAGCCACGATGCTGTATTGCCCTCTCTACAGCTCTTCATGTGGTTGGGGCTTTAGGAGGGCAGCCGGAAGTTACTGGGAGGCGTGTTTCCCAAAGGCCATTTGGTCCTCTCCACCCCTCCCACTGCTGTCTTTCCTGGCTCTCCTTCCTGCCAGGATCCCCTGAGGAGCGATCTGTGTTCATGAAGGCTTCCCGGAAGATGCTGGGCCCAAGCAGGGCCTCTTCACCCTTCCTGGATCTGCTGGGGTCCGAGGGCTTCCAGGACCCACCGGCGCAACTGCAGCTTCACCTGGCCAGGCCGCCTGAGTGGGGGCAGGACCTGCTGCTGAAGCTGCATGCCCGGAGGGTACCAGACAGAGCCCACCCCCAGGGCCCCATCAGGCTGGAGGTGCGCTTCTGTGCACAGGCTCTGTTACACAAGGGCGGTGCCCGGGAGCCCCTCTGGAGGAAGACAGCGCACCTGGACCTGGACTTCGGGGAGGGTGAGCAGGGCAGTTACTACAGGAGGGGGCTTTGGGGCCATGGACAAAGCTGAGCTGACTCAGCTGCATCTCCCAGAGACCCCTGCACCCCTGGCACCCACTGCTGGGCAGTGAAGCTGCTGTTGGCAGGAGGTTGAACGCCGTGGGCGGGACCTCTGCTGCTATCCCACCAGGTGAAATGTAGCAGTGCCCTGGGGGTCCATGGGGCAGGGCACTGCCTGCCTCTCTTTTACAGACTCCCATGCATGCTCTCTCTCACACGCAAACTGCTTTTTCTTCTCTGACACATAGATATTTTCTCTCTCTTCTTCTTTCTGAGATGCATTCCCGGGACACAAGATGCCTTTTGTCTGTGCTTAGAGGTACGGCTGCCGCTCTTGCTACCCTTCGACAACTATAGAAAGAAGCTGATGGATGAAAAGCTGATCCGTGTGTCTGGAATTGCCAGGGTGGAGCAGACAGGAAGGTCCGTGCTGGTGCTGAAAGATATCTCTCTGGAAACTCCCCACTTATCTATTGAGGTGAGGCATCTGGTCAGAGACTGGGCCCAAGGGCCCTCTGACTCACCCAACCCAGGGGCCGGGGATACAGCAACGAACAAGACACAGTCCCCGCCTCAGACACCAAATGATGATTAGAGCATGGTATAGGGTTGTCTTCTGTCTCTAGGCAACATGCAGAGCAGGCCACGCTGGCATCACAGAGGAGGTGACCTTTGGCAGAGAATGCATAGGAAGACACTGTAGAGAGAACTGAGGTGGAGATGAAGGCATCTTAAGTAAGCAAATAGCTTTGCAGAGGTGAAGAGACAAGAAAGGCAGTGACAGAGATGGAATAAAGGAGACGGACTTCAGAGAGATCACAAGTTCAATCCCACGGCTGACTGCTAATAAGGCAGGGATGACAAGAAAGAGGGAAACAAATGAAAGGTGAGTCTCAGATTCTGAGTTCAGAGGCCTGAGTGGCTGGTGAGGCCATCACTGAGGAAGGAATGAGGAAGGAAGGACTAACGACGAGGACAGAGAGGTTCCCCATGTCCTACCACCAGGGCTTCCTTGCCCTGAAGCCTCCTTTCCCCACCTCCCCCTCACTCCTACAGACTTGCCCTCTGCCTAGCCCTACTGCCTCTGCACCCAGTGGATTTGTCAAAGGCGCACTCCACCCCACCCCACCCCACCTCCAGAATGAGAGGCGAGTGACCCCATGTCATAGCTGGCCACCTGACAGTTTTCACCTGGGCATGTTGTCAGGTTGTCAGGCTAAGGGATGCCAGGCAGCCTCCACGATGGTGCAAACGGTGGACAGAATTACAAGTGCAGACATGGCCTGGCGCTCAGGTGAGGGCCCTGCCATTACTCAGAACCCGGTTACAACAGGATCTGATGCAAATGCATCCAACTCCAAGTAGGCTATGAATTGGTCCCCACTGGTAAGGGACCTGGGGTGTTTTGTGTGACTACGATATATTCCAATTTTCTTTTTACTTGATCTACTTTGATACCCTGATTACCATGCAAGCAACCTGCTTCTAGAATTCTAGAATTCTTCCTTGTTCTTGCTTCTCTGGTTGACCAGAACAAGCCACCAGTATGATCTGGGTGTTCAGAGATCATTTCAGCTCAACACTCATTAACCAAATGGCCATCATTTTGCTCACAGTGCACTAGGCACTGGGGCTCCAGAAGTGACTTTAATCCCTACTCCCACTCACAGACCAAAGCCATGCTACCCTGGGACACAGACCTCACATGTGATGCATTGAACTCAACTGGAAAAACTCAGAGTACGTCTGTTGGTGTATATGAAGACAGAGCATTGTAGGGGAAATATCCTGGCTGGTGGATGGGACACCTGAGGCAGGTCCTGTCTCTGCCGTGAACATATCCTGTGACCTTGGCCTCAGAATGACATTGCTGATGGCACATGGGCAGCACACATGACACCACTTCCTTACCCCATGCCTGCATCAGACACTACTGATCAATCATGACACTCTCACCGCCTCTGGATTTGTCCTTAGGATCCTTTTTAACACAAAATTCCTATTAGCCACAAGAAACAGGTTGGAGCTGCCACTAAAATTGGAATGTACTCGCTATCCTGGACTACATGGTGGGGATAGAAATAGATTTCAACTTGGTGCCAATTATCAATTGTTGGTGGCTTCCTGAAGTATTGTGACCTAAAACAGACCAGGATATATGTTAACCTCAATACTTGCAGCTCATATTCTTCTCTCCCAATGGCAGCATCTTAGCTCCTAAGTAAGCACTCCCCGGCGGTCACCAGTGATGGGGATGCGAAGTACTGAGCTGGAGGGCGGAAGTGAGGCCCGGTGCCCGAATATCCCTGTCTCCTTTGCAGGTCCCTGAGAGGGCTGAGGTGGGCAAGGCTCTGAGAGTCCACATCACCCTCACCAACACCCTCACGGTGGCTCTCAGGAACTGCACGATGGTGCTGGAGGGAAGTGGCCTCATTGATGGGCAGATATCAAAAAAGTGAGTTTTATTGCTGTCCGCCTGTCTTAGGCTGTTCTTGGTTAAAGGGTACCTCATGAGGTCATAGGGTGGCCCACAGTCTCCTGGATGGTGCTCCTGGCTCCCAGTTTCCCACCCGCCTGGGGTAAGGTTGAGCTTGCTGGTGTTGAGATGTAGAAGGAGGTACTTATCCACCAAGAAGAATAACCAGATTACCCACCCCAGTTTATTCCTCAAGCCTCCAACAGACTCTTTTTCATTTTCAGCATCGGGACTGTGGTGGGTGGACACACCATTGAAATCCAGGTGGACCTCTACCCCATCAAAGCAGGACGCCGTCAGCTGCAAGTCCTCATCAGCAGCAGCGAGGTCAAGGAGATCAAAGGCTACAAGCACATCTTTGTTGCCACAGCCAGGGCTTCTTGAACCCTGCCCCCACCCTCCTCAGGCCCACCCTGTCCCCCAGCACCTCCCTGAGCCCTGCCACCCTCATGTCCTCCTGGCCCCACCTCTCTCTTTTCTACTCCTGAAGGTATAGGGTTCTGTTTGCTTCTTCTCTGCCCTCTTCTAGCCTGCCTGGGGGGTGGAGGGGGACATGAAGCTCTTGGAACCACTGTGCATCTCAGGAAGAGACAATAAAGATGTCTTTATTTATTACTGGCATTGTCTCTTCTGTGCTAACAAGTTGCTTTCTGCATTTAAATTGTCTTAGCAAGCCTGCAGGCCGAGGCTGGAGGGAGGTGTCCGGACGTCAGCCTGGATGTGCTGGGAGCACACTGACTGTGGCAACATGGGGGTTGCCCAGGCGCTGTCCGGCAGGACTCCTCTGCTGCCACCCTGAGAGCATGGCAACAGCCCCAGGATGACTGGGAGGCACTTCGTAGCTAGCTGCCCCCAGTGGCAGGCCCTCACTTTCCCTGACCCCATCTTCCTCTCTTGTTCCCTCACCCATCTGCTCCTCTTCATCTTTGACTCTATCCAAGTCACCCTAACTGCCTCAGCTTCTCTTCCTTTCCGTTGTTCGTTTTTGTTATTTTTAAGGACAGGAAGGCAATCTTTTGTATTTTCTTCCTGTGGTCCTAGAGATCATTTGTGCTCATTCTAGATTATTTGGGAAGAATAGAACAGTGAAAAGAAACAAAAGAAAAATCACCAAGAGCTCCCTTATCCTAGAAGAAATCTGTTAATGTTTTGCCATATGTCTTTCTGGTCTTTTCCCCCTTTTCATTGTGGCTTTTATAGTTATCATTACATGGCTATCATCAAAAAGACTAAGAGATAACAAGTGGCGAGGATATGAAGAAAAGGGAACCCTCATGTACTTCTGGTGGGAACATAAATTGGTGCAGCCACTATGGAAAGCAGTATGGAGAATACTCAAAAAATTAAAGATAGAACTACCATATGATCCAGCTATTCCATTTGGGCCAATATCTGAAGAAAATAAAATCACCATCTTGAAGAGGTATCTTCACATTCATGTTCACTGCAACATAATTGACAATCACCAAGATATGGAAATAACAAGTGTCTGTCAATGTATTCATGAACAAAGATGTCAGATATGTGCACACATTGGAATACTATTCAGCTGTAAGAAAGAAAGCAATCCTGCCATTTGCTACAATATGGATGGAACTTGAGGGAATTATGCCAAGAGATAAGTCAGACATGGGAAGACAAATACTATATGATCTCATTTATGTGTAGAATCTAAAAAAGCAGAACTCGTAGTAGCCGAGAGAAGAATGGTGGTTACCGAGGGCTGGGGCAAGGAGGAACTGGGGAGATGTTGGTCAAAGAGTGCAAGCTGCTAGTTAGAAGACAATTTCTAGAGATCCAATGCATAGCATTGTGATTTTTAAGTTAACAGTACTATTTATACTTCAAAATTGCTAAGAGACTAGATCTTAAATGTTTTCACCACAAAAAAAGAAATGATAATCATGTGACATGATGGAGGTGTTTGCTAATGTCAAGGTGGTAATCATGTTGTAATATATAAGTGTATCACATCAATACATTGTATACCTTAAATGTACACACTATTATAGGTCAATTATGTCTCAATAAAAAAATTAAAAAATAAAGTCATCATAAAAAATGGACACATTTGCATCATGGAAAATTAAGAAACTCCAGAAACACAGAAGAGGAGAGCACCGTCCTATGGGTTTTCAGGTGTTGGCCCTCTGTCCTTGCCGCCCCCGCCTGCTCGGCTGCTTGGCAAGCTCACTTGGCTCATCTCACCACCCTCTACTCCTCCTCTCTGTTTTCTATTCATTTTGCTTTCACAGGCTGCTTTGGGCAGGAAGGGCAGTAGCCTGCACACCCATACTCCACCCTTGGTGTTGGCTGCACCTGTCCCCGTAAGTGCCATTGGGCATTTCTGTGGGACTCCATCACGGCTTCGTCACTGCTGTGTTCCAGGCGGCTCCCCAACCGCCCAAAGGAACCCGAGCTGGCTCCTGCAGAAATCTGAGGTTTTGCTCCACTTGCCAAGTGACCCTCCTCCTTTGGCCCTTGGCCCTCCTGCCTGCTCGGTCTCGTGGCACGCATCTCCCTGGCTGTCACGTGTGTCACTGGAGGGAACAGTGGGTGGACTTCCTGCTGGACCCTCAAGGGGCCTCCCAAGGGGATGGGGATATTAGCCATCTCTGCCTTATCAGTCGAGCTTTCAAGTAATTTCCTCCCTCCCCACCTAAAAATTGGCTTAAAAAACCATACTCCGCAGCATTTTCATCTTTTCTGTTTTTCAAGTAGGTGAGCCTGTCTGCTTCATTTCCCTTCCTCAGTGGGACCAGCTAGACAATCTCAAGCTCCCTTCCAGTTCCGACATCTCGAGGGATTAGGATGCTGGGGTTCATGCCCACTGCTGCGGAGCACCCTGAGATTAGGTCCTGAGCCACCCTGCTCTGCCATCCTCACCCTCCCCTTGTCTCACAGCAGCCCTGTGGGGCTGGCTGGGCCAGGCAGTGGTGCCCACAAAGAAAGGCTGAGAAGTGTTCAGTTTGTGGAGCAAGAAGGCACAAACCAGGCTAGCACCCAGGTTCCTGACTGCAGGTCTTCCCAGCCCCGGGGGCGTGCATGAGGCTGCTGTCCTCATGGCCTCCTGGCTGGCCATTTTGGGGTCCACACTGTTCAGTGTCATTGGGTGATGCAAAGCAAAGAGCCGCCTCATGGGTTGATGCTGGCTGTCTCAGATGTAAACTGATAATGACAATTAACTGCTGTGCCAGCCCTATCTTCCCTCAGAGGGTTGCTGTGAGGATCAAATGAGAAAGTGTGTCCTCAAGAGCTGCATAAATCATGAAGTGCACCCATGTGCAGAGGTCTTCTGCCCAGCTCAGTCACCTCTCCTAAGTGACTGTCTCCATTTCCAGCAGTGGGCGCCCACCTGGATCTGCCAATTTTGGCTTCCCTTTGCAGTTGTCTATGGGGAACCTCCTCTCCCTCCCCTCAGACTTAGGTACCCACGGCTTCACAGACTATGATTCTACAAGGAGGTTGCAACTTGACTAGAGACATACTGGGATTCATGGCGTGGCCAGGATTAGCATCCTGGCTCTCTGAATCTTACTGAAGGGCCAGAAGTTCCCCGTCCCCACCTTGCTAGAGCCAGCCTGCCCTGGGGGATAACAGGCAAGTCCACACCTCCCTGCTTGAATGCCCCAGTATCTGCTCTGTGCCCACCACTGAGGGTCACAGCCCTGTTCCCATCCAGACAGAAAGTTCTCATCAACTCTGCTCAGCTTCCTTGGCTCTCTGCTGCCCTTACCTTGGACCAAGGGACAAGCCACCCTGGTCAGAGCTGCCTCCCTTCCCTGGCACACCTCCACCCTCTAATCTCTGACTAATGGTTTGTAGTAATCAAAGAGAGGGCTGAACCTCTAAGTCAGCTTATGAACCCAGAGCCATGAAATGAGCTGTTGCCCAATGGCCACTGGGCACCTTCCTCTTTGGCTACTTGCCCCCTCCCCCTGCCGCACCCACCCTAGCTGTATGCGTCTTGCTGTGTCTCCTCACAATTAGGCTCTCCTGCCTACATTTTTTCTTTCTCTCTAAGCTAACTCATCTCAACTAATGTGGCTGTGGGTTCAGACATTTATCCATTTGTTCAAGCATGTATCATCTTTTAATTCATTTACTCTGTCCTCCAACAAACACAGATTGGAAAACTGGCCATGATTCAGATAATGCATTAGCACTTACACAGGACAATGGAGTCTGATTGCCTCCATTCAAAATCTGGCTCCACCAATTCTTAGTGAGTGATCTTGGGAAAACAATATAATATAGTTAAGCCTTGATTTCCTCATCTGTAGTACAGGATCAGTAATAGTACCTAACCCAACTCATGGGGATGGAGCGAAGATTAAGTGGGGTAATACTCAGAAAGAATGTAAGACAGTAGCTCTTGCTATTTCTAGCAGTTTTACTATTAGCCACTATCATTATTAAGCATGGGGGATATATTAATAAGCCACAAGCTATGCCCTCAAGGGGGACTGGGGGAAAGATAGGTTAAGTATTTGTAATGTCAAATCTGAGTAGGCTAGGAGGGAATGCAAAAAGGGTTGCCCCTAAACACCTGGAGTGGTGGAGAGAGGCTGTCAGGAAGAGGGGCAATGCTCCAACCTGGATACGAGAGAGTAGACAAGGGAGAGGAGAACATTTCAGAGAGAGGGACCAGCATGTGAGAGAGCACAGAGTGAGGGAGAACAGGTCTCCATCTGAGAACTGAAGGGGTTTACCTGCCTGGTCTCCAGGTGGGTAAGGAAAGAAAAATGAAGGGCTTTGGGGGTGATGTCAAAAAGTCTGGACTTTACCCTCAGTTGGACCTTAAGCAGGAAGTAACCTGGCTGAATTGGCACTTTGGTTGAAAAATCACTTTGGTGACTCATTTGAAAAAAGGATGGGTAGGAGACTGTTCAGCAGTTTCTCACCAAGACAAGAAATGCAGGAGGAAGGGGAGGGGGTAGGTGTTCCATTTTGGATTGAAGGTGGGCGAAGGTGTGTTAGGCAGTGAATCATATATGTGCATGTATACAAACACTATAAGAGTTGACTGGGGACAGACAGAGCTGACAATACAGGAGGAAGGATGGCTGCTGGAGAATGAGGTTCTGAGGAGAAAGATTAAGAGACCCAACAAGCAGGGAGATGCAGGGAGAAGTGTCCCACTGGAGGGAAAGGCAGCAGGGGTGTGGATGCCTGGTGCTTCCAGCGTCCCACTCACTTCCTACAAGCAGCCGTTTCCCTCCTTCCACCTCTCTTCTCCCATCTTTTTTTCCCTTTGTGCTCACTCCAACGGCTTGTACGTTTCTTACTAGAGTCAAGGTCACTCACTGGTGCTCCCATCCTCTCACCTATTTCTAAAACTCCACCATGAATCTTCCCAAGTTTTCTTCCCCTATGGCTTTTATTTGAAATTTGCTTTGGACCTGGAAGGTCTCAATCAACACAATACCTTCACCAAAAATAAATACCCAAAGAACCATACCAAGAGTGATCCAGAATGGGTTATGTTTGTATTTGATGTCCAGAAAGTGACTTTTCAGGATAAAAGAGAGGCTCAGGTGCTAAGCAGACATCTAGGCTTAAGAGGCTCTCAGTTGTGAGCCACAGTCTTGGGACCCTGCTACTCTCTCCTGCAAGGGTTCAGCCCCGCTCCATTCCCCTAGAGGCCCCATCAGCTCAGGAGTCCCACCCGGCTCCGCCACCACAGCGCAGGGCCTGCCAGGGAATGCGCCATTGCCCAAGAGCTATCAAATGCCCACATAGCACAAGGTGCTGACAGTTTCTTGGCCTCCACACCTCCTCTCAGCCAAGCAACACTACCAAGAAAAACCTGAGGGCAAGTGAGAAAACCAGTTGTGATCTGCCCAGTAAGCAGGTGGCAGTGCAGCAACCGCCCTGCCTTCAGTGTTTCTTGGGCATGGAAGGGGAAGCAGGCACTCCAGGACCACTTTCCTGAAGTTTACAGCCATCC